TCCTGTTGTGTGTATTTTGCCACAATTTATAAACAAAAATGCAGAGAGAGATGTGAATTGATCTAGGTATGTGATCCAACTTCCAGTGAGGCACAAGTGAGTGGGCTGAGCAGAAGCAATGGCTGACTCCAGGTGTTTATCAGCTTGAGAACTGCTGATAAGAGCTATAGTTTAATTTACGCCTGTTGCTGTGCTCAGCTCTTGCCTTGGATTTCCCTCGTATTTACCAAGGTTGGAGAAGACTACATATCCAAGGCCTTAGAGGTGAATTTGATCCTAGGTCACCTGGCAGCTCAAAGGATGACTCACCGGTCTGATTTGCCCAGACTGATAGAGCCACATTTCAGGGACTCTTCAGTCCCCACTGATGCCCCAGCTGGTGTCAGGCTTCGTACCCTGGGCCCCCTTCTACTCAAAAGCCTGTAGTTCTGTCAGCAGTCTGCCAGCAGGCATATTCAAGTGTCTCAATCCTTGTGGTTTTTTTTAAGACATGTCATATAACATTAATGAAAACACAGGGCCTTCTGTCTGCATTAATTTTTTATGAACAATAATTAATCTGAGTAAACTGGCTGATTTTTCTCAGGCACAGAGTGTGGGTAGGAGTCTTTCCACAGTGTCTCAGGTAGGTCAGGTGATAGTCCCAGTGTGCACTTGGTATTGGGTTGGGCCAACTTAAGTGAAATTGCTTTTAATAAGAATACGAAGGAGTAGCCACTAGCCTGTTGTGCATCCTTATGGGAGGGACGTAACCTGCGGGGTTTTCTGTAGGCAGAAAGTAAGGCCAGAAAGTCTGGGAAAGCTTGTGCCCCAGAGTTGCAGGTTTCACATTTGATTCCCATTCCCAATGTTTGGTATCCAGCTATTCTGGCTTCTCTGTGTCACAGTTCTGACATGTCACAGACTGACATTCATGGTGTAGGTACCACTTCTGTTAGAGACAAATTCAGCTCTTGCCAACAACTCCTTCAGTTACATGCCCAGCCTCTCTTCAGGTGCCTGCTTTCTTTCTAGGATGCTGGGACAAAGTGGTCCTGGGGTAGCTTTGCATGTGTGATAGAATGAAGTAGGGAAAGCCCTTCAGTACCTCAAGGTTGTGTTTTGGTTTTCCAGCTGAGCATCGAGCAGGCCCAGACGTGGCAGAACAGGTGGAGATGAAGGCGAAGGTGGTACAGTCGGAGGTCAAGGCGGTGACTGCCAGGCATAAGAAGGCCCTGGAGGAGCGGGAGTGCGAGCTGCTGTGGAAGGTAATGGGGACCATGAGCCGCTCACAAAGAAAAGGCAGGAAGGAGAACAGTCAAGTCTGTGTTAGGTGAGGCAGGCTAGTTAGAAGCGTTCTTGTTTTTGGTGTCCTGGCTGGCCACACTTCCTGCCCCTGTGGAAAGCTAGTTTTCCACGTAGGAGGGCAATGAATGTGTGCCCTTTCTTCCTGTTGAGCAGGAAAGGGTGCTGAGCACACTGGTGTGCTGTTTAGATAAAAATCAACTGGAAAGACCACTGCCCAACTCCAGTCAGCAGCTCAGCTTTTCTCACTGTGTATCCCCATGCAGGAAGTAGGAAAACTGTGTGTATACACTGGCCAGGACTCCACACCAGTTCTTTTACTCCAGTAACATTCTCTGAACATACACATACACAAATGACTGCATAACTGGTTAGAAAGGACACACTTACACACTTGTGGGCTTGTTTTGATCTCAGTATTACATGAACTGCTGAAAGTGACCCTCGCTCACTGCTGTACCCTAAAATGCTGTGAAGACTACATTGGGTTTGCATTGCATTTTCCATTTAGTTACCCTTAAGTCTACGGCCATAACACCCTGAATGCACCCGATCTCATCTAGTCACCCTTAAAACTCTGCTTTCTGACTTGTTAATAGGTATGGCTTGTATGGCTTACTTGCCTCCCAAGAAGAAGAGTCTGTGTGTGAGTAGGGGATTAGGCCAAGACTTAATTCAGTACATAGTTTTTGAGCACCTATGGATAGTCAGTTGTCCCCATGGGTCTGCCAGTGTGATGCCACCCACAAATGTTAATTATAACTGGAGAGGCCTTTTCTTGCAACCTGAGAGCTTTTTTGTGAACTCTGCCACAAACCCGCTCTTCTGGATTTCCTGATGAAAAAGGCCTTTGTGTGTGCGGGCTTCCGGTACTCTCACCTTCACTACACACACTCCTGCTTGTGAGGCCGTCTTGCTGTCTCTCTCAGAACACCTGGAAGTCAAGTGTTCAGAAGTGTATTTGGAAGAAGAGACATTTCTTCTAAGTAAGATAAATGGCTTCTCCTTGCCCAGAACCTACTCTCAGGAGATAATTCTAAGAGTAGTTTGCTTGTTCTAGAACATCTCCATCTCAAAAAATACATTTTGGTTTGGATCTTTGGCCTTGTACTGAGAAAGAACACCCTGTCTTTTAACTAGTGACAGATTTTTCTGTTCTTTCTGAGCAAGGCCTGCCTGTCTGTTTCTGTCTGGGTATGTCTGTGGTAGTTCGTTTTGTTTTCTTTCATTCCTTTGTGTTGGACTTTGAGCTCCATGAGTGTCCAGATGCAGTCCTAATTTAATTGGCCATGCATTCCCCTTTTATGTATCTGGAATCACCTCTTCTTTCTTGTGCCTTACACATTTCTATATACTTACCACTGGTGGTAATCAAAGGTGGTAGAGGTTTGGCCTGACTTGAGACCAAAGGTCAAAATTTCTGTTTTGTAAACCCACCTACTCTGTACACATTTTGTGGTTTTCCACAAGGAACACATGAAAAAGCATGAAGGGGTTCAAAATCCCATCCATACCTCTCGAGGGAAAACCAGATGAAAATACAGCCCTTAGAACAGTGGGTCCTTATTCTGAACTAGACTTTCATTTAGATTGGTAGAGGACTCAGAAGTTATCCTCTACAGACAGTGTAAACTACTTGAGTAATGTTATCCCTCACCAGGAATAAATTAGAGTTAGGGTACTTTAAGTGTATGTGTGTGTGTGTGTGTGTGTGTGTGTGTGTGTGTGTATGGAGAGAAACAAATTTCATATCTTGGACAAAATACTGTATTTCTGAATAGTTCAGGTTGAGAACTAAAGAAGCAGGAGTATTTTTTTAGGTTAAGATCTGTGTTCTCATATTAAGTCATCTTGTGGGGGGGCTTCAACTGATCCCTATACCTTAAAACTAAATAAAGGACAGTGGGAAAAGTGTTTTTGAAATCTTGAATTCTTCATCAAATCCCCTATCCTACTCCTGAGTATGAGAGACATAAAATGGTCTGAATTTCAGGAATCCCTCAGGATTCTGGTGTGGCTGCAGTCATAATTCAGTGTGCTGGTAGACACAGTCCTTGCATCCTGTTGAACTACCTCTGTACACCTTCACAGCTACCTCTTGCCAGAACCATCCCAGGGTGATCTGATCTCCACTTCTTTATTTTTCTTCCTGCAAGACATGCTCCACAAAGTCAGTCATCATACAACATAAATGTGTTTACATCAGTCTCCTACTTAAAACTGTGACCCATTTAAGGAGCAGTGGCTCACACCTGTAATAATAAGTACTTGGGAGGCAGAGATTGTTCTCCAAGGCCAGCCCAGGCAAGTTCATGAGACCACATCTCAATGGATAAAAAGCTAGGCATGGTGGCGCATGCCTGTCGTTCCAGGTAAGAAGGATGCCTAAGTAGGAGGATCGGTGTCCTTTAGCTCATCCTGAAAAATACTGAAGCAAAAAGGCCTGGGAGCTTGGCTCAAGTGATAGAGCACTTGCCTAACCAAGCACAAGGGCTTCAGTTCAAACCACTACCCCCAATATTTTTGATGCACAGGCAGTTGAAGCTGTAGAGGTGGAACTGCTGGTAGGTACTGCAAGTCCTATCTATGTGATTTGAGAGTCAATTTAAATGTGGAGATATAGCCTTTTTTGGTTTCTTTGTACAAGGACATTTTCTTACATAGCTACAGGATGATTGTAAAAATCACAAAGTTAATCTTGATAGCACAGCAACATCTAATCCTCAGTCTGGTCAAGCATCAAGAATTTTCTTAACAGTGTTGCTCATAGCTGTTTTTCTTCCGGTCCAAGATCACTCATTGCATTTTATTACTGTGTCTCTAGTAGCCTTCTTCTGGAATAGGTCCTTGGCCATTTTGTGGGGTGGGGTAATCCTTTTTAAGTTTCAAGTTTTTTCCACATGTGCACACCAGGACTTTCGTGACCATCCCCTCCGTATCTCAGTATGGGTTTCCTTACACTTGGTTCTAAACCTGCATCCCCTTCCCTTCCTCTCACCTTTTCCTTCAGGTAGAAAAGATCCGCCAGGTGAAGGCCAAGTCTCTGTATCTGCAGGTGGAGAAGCTGCGGCAAAATCTCAACAAGCTGGAGAGCACCATCAGTGCTGTTCAGCAGGTGCTGGAGGAGGGTAGAGCCCTGGATATACTGCTGGCCAGAGACCGCATGCTGGCCCAGGTCCAGGAGCTGAAGACCGTGCGGAGCCTCCTGCAGCCCCAGGAAGATGATCGGGTCATGTTCACACCCCCTGACCAGGCACTGTACCTCGCCATCAAGTCCTTTGGCTTCGTCAGCAGTGGGGCTTTTGCACCACTCACTAAGGCCACTGGTGATGGCCTCAAACGGGCTCTCCAGGGTAAGGTAGCCTCCTTCACGGTCATTGGCTATGACCATGATGGGGAACCTCGCCTCTCGGGAGGTGACCTAATGTCAGCTGTGGTCCTGGGTCCCGATGGCAACCTGTTTGGTGCAGAAGTGAGTGATCAGCAGAACGGGACTTACGTGGTGAGCTACCGGCCCCAGCTGGAGGGTGAGCACCTGGTGTCGGTGACCCTGTGCAACCAGCATATCGAGAACAGCCCCTTTAAAGTGGTGGTCAAGTCTGGCCGCAGCTACGTGGGCATCGGGCTCCCGGGCCTGAGCTTTGGTAGTGAGGGTGACAGTGACGGCAAGCTCTGCCGCCCTTGGGGCGTGAGTGTAGACAAGGAAGGCTACATCATTGTGGCCGACCGTAGCAATAACCGCATCCAGGTGTTCAAGCCCTGTGGCTCCTTCCACCACAAATTTGGCACTCTGGGCTCCCGGCCTGGGCAGTTTGACCGACCAGCTGGGGTAGCCTGTGATGCCTCACGAAGGATCGTGGTGGCTGACAAGGACAATCATCGCATCCAGATCTTCACCTTTGAGGGTCAGTTCCTCCTCAAGTTTGGTGAGAAGGGAACCAAAAACGGGCAGTTCAACTACCCTTGGGATGTTGCAGTGAATTCTGAGGGGAAGATCCTGGTCTCGGACACTCGGAACCACCGCATCCAGCTGTTTGGGCCTGATGGGGTATTCCTGAATAAGTACGGCTTCGAGGGGGCTCTCTGGAAGCACTTTGACTCCCCACGGGGCGTGGCCTTTAACCACGAGGGTCACTTGGTGGTCACCGACTTCAACAACCACCGGCTCCTGGTCATCCACCCCGACTGCCAGTCTGCACGCTTCCTGGGCTCAGAAGGCACCGGCAATGGGCAGTTTCTGCGCCCACAGGGTGTGGCTGTGGACCAGGAAGGGCGCATCATTGTGGCTGATTCCAGAAACCACAGGGTGCAGATGTTTGAGGCCAATGGCAGCTTCCTGTGCAAGTTTGGTGCTCAGGGCAGTGGCTTTGGGCAGATGGACCGCCCTTCTGGCATTGCAGTCACTCCCGATGGCATGATTGTCGTGGTGGACTTTGGCAACAATCGAATCCTCATCTTCTAATAGCATCGTCTGGGTTTCTGTGTTTGGGGTGTGCGTGTGTATGTCTCTCCCTTTTTGAATTTCAAAGAAGAAGCAGTCTCAGGGAAATTTCTTTTTCTTTTTTTCTTTTTTTTAAAGAGAACAAGAAAAGTACAACATTGCTTGCATCCTACCTCATCTTTATTTTTTTACAGATGAATGTACTAACCTCTTGTGCAGGGATTGAGCCTGTGAAGTGATGATTCCTATCTACCTCATAAATCTCCGCGTTTCCTTCTCCGCCAGGCCCTCTTCTCTCTGTGGAGATAGCGTTCCCTCTTGCCCGCATGGGTGTGATATGCACAAGCCCCACCTCTTCAGCTGTGAGGGCCCTGGAAGTGTGGGGTGGGTGCATTCTATAGCTTGAGCCAAGGAAACACAGACACTACTAAGTAAGAAAACAAAACCAGTTGGGGTGGGGGTGTGACTGTAATATGTGGAAAAGTAGGATTTGAAGTTCATAATTGTAGAGTATTTGTGTTCTTAAGAATACTGTGTTTATTTGGGGTTAGATTGTGTTGTGTGGTTTGATCTTTTTTGGAAAATGGTCTCTTTAAAATGCTGCAACAGAGTGCTTTCCTCTGTCCTCCTTGTATTCCCCCAGTATGTCTCACATCCTCTTCATCTCCTTTCTTATCCCTAGGAGGCATGGTGATGGCTTGCTAGCCAAGAAAAGCAGACCATTCGTACTTTCGGGTGTCTAATCTTCCTTTTAAGGGAGGGTGTGTGTGTTTCAAAGCTATCTTGCACCCAAGTCGTAGAACTGGGAAAGGCACACTACATCCCAAGCAATCTTTTCTTTCTACACTTTGGTTTCTAAGAATAGATGTAGCTCAGGATTCTTGATTACAAGTATTTTCAAGTGTTCTTACCTTGTTGGATATTAAGAGTTAAGTGGAAGGAAGAAGAAACCAATCTCTTTCTCAGATGTGGACTGAGGGAAGCAAGCGGAGGGCAGCACTCACTAAGCAAGGCACCCCCAAACTAGGGGCTCTTCAGGAGGGGCAGGGGCAAGACCTGACCCCAGAGTGAATGTTGTTCCACAATGCTAGGTGTTTCTTTTTCTAAGACGAGTAAGTAGACAAAGGAATAAACTTTTATTTTAAAAGCACAATTTTTTTCCTGCTTGGAAGTTCAGGGAAGTGGAGTGTTTGATCCTCACACTAATAGGAGCACCCTGTTTCCACATCCTGTACTCGGTTGCTTTTACAGGACCCTTGCACCTGAGTTACACTAAAGAAAGGACTTCATGGTTAATATGGGAACCCCCCCCCCAGCCTTTGAATGTAACGGATTATAAACCAAATCACCCCAACTTTAAATGTTGGACATAACCTTTTCTTAATCTTGTTACTTGGTACCAAAGAATGAAAACTTACAAGCTAGACTCCCACTGCAGAATTGGGGGGAGGCATCTGTGTCACTTTATAAGATTGTCTTTTTTTTTTTTTTTTTTGTAAGCTGTACTTTGCTTCAAACTTTGTGCTTCTAGGCATTTTCTATCTTAGAATCCTAATGGGTCTGTTACTATGCTGGAATAACAATCCTCAGGAGAAAAACCCTTCCTATAGCAGTTTGAACAGCCCTGTTTCTTCCCATTGCTTTAATTCTAGGGTTTCTGAGTGACCAACGTGGTGGGGTGGGGATGACTCATCTCACAGGGGGGAATGGCACACAATCAAAGATCCCAAAACTGAAACAATGATTCAAACTGCTGCCCCTCACCTGCCCTGTTCCCGGGTTGGGAAGTATTAAAAACTCTTGTTTGTAGCAAGCGCCTTTTCTTTTAGAGTCTTTTCCCAGTTCCTATTCACTTACCTTTTATTTTGCCCTAAAATTCTTTGGCTGATAAAAAGAGTGGAGTAACACCCCATCCCAACTGTCCAACAAATCATCCTTTAAACACCAAAGACAACTGGTTTTAAGTGCTTAAAGATTTTGTTTTGTTTTAAATTGAAGAAATGGATCTTGATAAAAATGTTCTCAGAATCATAGGTTTAATTGTGGCTGAGTTAGTCACTGCTGTTTTGTTTCATTTTTTATACTATCTTAATTTCCATGATCATCTTAGCCCTCTTTCCAACTTCCCCTATATGTGGGGAAATTCTGACTGGTGAATGAGAAACTTTCTTGGTGAATGGCAGTAGATAAAAATGATTATTTAACATTTTACTGTGGATTTGGTTGTACAGCCAGGGTTCCCATTCCATGGTTGAAATTACCAGGTCTTGATTAATAGACAACCAGTATATAGGCTTAGAGCAATTGCAGGTGCAAGATACTGCCTCTGTATTCTCAGAGTTGTGGCCCAGAATGGCACATGACTGCATCTAGAAACATGGTCACATTTGGGAAACTTGTTTTTAAAACAAGTAGCCATTTGTTACTGCCCAAGATTGACTCCTGGCCCATCGAGAGTGTTTATTGTATGATGTGGGATATTCCAAATCAAAGCAAGATGATAAACGCCAAAGTTGGTACACTCTGGTGTGAGGCTACCTGCATATCTCCTGCTTATTTTAGGCAGGTAAGTAGGAATTGGGTCAAAGAGGAGAGTCTTCAACATGGTGAAAAAGATAAGGTCCTGGGTGCGGAGATCAGTATGTTTGTAGGGAGTGAATGGCCATTAGATGACAGTCCCCTTGTAGCTCTGATTTAGTCAGGCAGCAGGGATGTTAGGAGGTGCCCATTGGTATTAGATTGTAGATTTGAATATTGAGATGTTCAAAGGAAATCTTATCCCATAGGTATGAACACTTGGTTGACACCTAGTTTTCAAAAGTAATCTGTTGAAAAAATACTCACTTCACTGTAAATTTGTTCACGGAAAAGCAATCCTGTCTCAGAACCTGTGCTGTGTCGTGGCGAGCAGGAGACCCTCGAGTTGGCTGGGGCCCAGCGGCCTGGGCTCTACCCCAAGTGCACTAACTTCTCAATCAATGCCCTTTTTAAGTCTAACTTATTTGGGGAAATATGTAAGGGTACCATAAACAGAATCTAAGTTATGTGTTGGGCCAAAGAAGTTGCCAGAATTGAAGGCACTTTGTGGTGGAGTTACAAGATCAGCTGGCTCAGTCTATTTTACTCTAGTTAAGCCAAAGCTTAATTATTTGAGGAGGGAAGTCTTAGCTCGAGCAGCAGAACACTTTTTGTTTATGTGTTGTCTTCCTGTTTGGAAAATTCTAGAATTGCTGTGTTCTGGTAGATAGTGAAAGAGATGCCAAAGTTTTAGGCTTGTTTTTCTGTTTGTTTTGTTTGTTTGTTTTGTTTTTTGTTTTTTAAATCCAGTGGTGCCAAAAAGTATTTAGGGTATTTATTTAGAACATCATTCTTACTGAGTTTCCAACAGTCTGGGGCTGTATAAAAGTGGAACTCTTATCCTTATGCATGATGATTGCATAGGGTTGGGTCCCCTGAGGCTCTGAGGCTTTCTCTGGCTACCTGTGGGCCAGGGGCACAGGACACAGCGCTCCCCATCACACTGATTGCTTGTTTGGTCTCTACCTCACTTTTGGTGAAAGTCTTATCTACCTCATGTTAGCATCTGATGGGTCTTGAAAAGAATAGTATTAATCCAGTGGGAGTAGGCAGAAGTGGGAAGCTACCTCTTAAAGAAATACTGTCATAAATCTAGATTTCTCCCAGGAGCAACATTTGGCCTTTAAAGAGAGACATCAGGTAAATGGAGTCATGAACAAGTAGTTCTTACCAGTCTGGTTTCCTCCCCACAAACAGAATTACTCATGCCTCATTGTTCAGTATTATGAAACTACTGGTTAATTTGACCTATTGGAGGACTTAACTACAAATAAAGACCTTTAGGTCTCTTTTTCTCTTCAAGAGAAAAATATTTTATCTGTATTCGAGTGTCTGCAAATAAACCTTTTTAGGGAGAATCCTCAGTCTAGTTGGAAACATCAAGCGTTTGAAGGGAATGAGAACGCTTTTGACCTCATGATTGTATTTGTAGCTTTCTGGACCCAGCAGGATGGTCATCACCCTAATGTCACAGCCATCACTGTTTGCTGTGGAGCAGTGACTGGTGAGGTATGTGTTGCTCTTTTGTTTTGATTTTGTTTCTACCAAAGGTAATTGATCAGATTCTTTTTTCTTTTTCCTTGTTTGTTAAATACTTGATAAATTTGAGAAGCACATTATCAGGATATACTGTATTGACCCTCTACCTCTCCTCTCCCATGGTAAATTTTTGGTCTGATTGGATGAGAGGGTCCAAAGACCACTGTAGTAGTCCTAAGTTGGGTTTATAAATGTCATGGTGAAGAAGTACCTCAGTGATGTCTATTTTAAAAACTGATCTTACGGGTTAACAAGCCAGCCTGGTGGGATGTTTTCCATCATCATTTAACCAGTAATGGTTCTAAAAGTTTTGTGTATCCATATGGTCTTAGACCTCTTTTAATGATTGTATTAACTTACGAGCTCAGGTAGTATTTTTTCTTAAGGCTATCTCAGAGCACACTGGCAGAATGTTGGCGTGTGTAGCAATGTGTTTACTTTCTTTAAATAACCAGCTCTGTAATAGTTCTTTATGTTTCTAGCAGCCTGTGTAGTTGTCTTTCGTCAAAGGAAGACTTTTCACATTATGAGATTTTTTTTTCTTTCCTTGTTTTTAGGATCATAAGATGTCTTTTTCCTTTTCCCTTAAAGTCAACGCAGGTGAGGGTGGGTGGGTAAAGGGATGTTTAGCATGTTACATGTAGTTGGGTGGGAGGGAGGGTTGTTAGTAATTTTTTTTTATGGATCTTGCTTAATACTGTCCATTAGCTCTCATGCCTGGCCAGCAAAAAAAAAAAATAGTAAGTTTTAAGTATCGAATACATGACTCAATTGAGTCTTTTTTTTTTCTAAAAGAGAAGTGAATGCAGAATTTGAAATTATCAGAGGCATGTTGCCTAATGTTAGAGTGACTAAGTTAAACCTCTTAATTTTTATTATTTGTCCAAGGCAAACTGATAGGAATA